AAGGTTCCAGTTTCTCTCTCCCTGACCACTGCCAGCCCCAAATGCAACGAGAACCTCTAGCAACTCAGGAGATTTGGACAGATGTAAATAATGACACTTGCAACAATCAGACAGTGAGGACAGAGCTCTTACTGCAGAGATTCCTCTTTACCAAAGCTCTCCAGCTAATGCTGCAGCTTCTCAGTGCCTGGATTTCAGTTCTGGCATAAGCAAGTTTATCCTTCAGCACCTGAATCACTGTTTGAGCATGAAGCATTCATTTCAGCTACTATGTACTGTAAACACTGAATGTTCTTTGCCATAGAAGATATCATTCACAATATTTACTCACCAACTGGACTGGAGAAGATAAAGCACAACGGGTAAGAAACTCTTCCATCATCGTGCTGATACTTGTAACTATACACAATGAATGTTTTTCTGAGGTTAAAGAAAGTAAAAATCAACAATTTTATTAGGCTACAAGCCTCAGTTATCAAAGCCAAATGTAAGCACAAAGAAGTTCTTCCTCAGTTTTGCATTCTAGAAGATGCGTTGACTTTGATAATTAATCTCACTGTTCTTCTATCTTCACTTTCATCTACTATTTCAAATCCACACGTGACTTCCAGAAGTTTTTGACTCCACTTTTCTCTACCAACCCCTCCCACGTCAGGGGGCAAGAGGTGCTTCTATATTGCTATTTCACTTCACGTCAGAAGGCTAAAAATCACCCTTTTCATTGCACACAGTTGTCCTTCGTTTAGCTTTCTAAAAAAGACTTCCCACACCTACCAGTAAGTTTCTGACCTCATGAAAGCCGAATTCTTTCCTTGAAAACTAAGCAGTACTTTGTTTCAGGTGTTTTGCTGAACTTGAACCTAAAATTTAGCCAAAATTCTTCCCTTATAGCCTCCTACCAAGCCACATTCATGAATCAGATTTAGAGTGGCACCCAGAATAACGCCACCCGGCCTGCCTCTGAAGAAAACAAACTCTTCCCTAATCCACACTCCTACACTCCTCCCAAAAGCAGTTACACAGCAAAATAGCATGGGCCCTTGCTGAGAAATTATCAACACATGCCCTAAGCTACACAGGCAGTTTTCTATACTTAGAAGGAACCACATACAAAATTAGTATACTTTACTCATTTCTTGATTTTAGTAATAGTGCAGCTTCAGCTTGTTTCCTTTTAAACTATATTCTGTAATATCTGGGGGAAGTCAAACCTCAGGAAAGGCCCAAGTGTTAGCAGCCATTGTGTGACTTAGTCTTTACAAAGTGGGACACGACTGCTCAGCGCCTCACCAGAGCTGATCCCTGCGTTATTTCACAATTACAACATCAGTAGAGTTGCACTATGGCCAAGTATCGGCATAAAAATACAAAATCCAACTAGGAACATTCTGAGCAGTCTCCAGGAATGAGCGAGACCAGATGTCAGCAACGTAAGAAGGATATCGAGGTTGTCTCTCGGGCAGCTCGTCTTTTAGCTCATCAGGAGAGATACCCTGGTAATATTAAACACAAGCAATATTTGAACAAATTAATTTGCAGCTGTATGCAACAAAGGCTGAAACAGAGCAATGGCAGAGTGAAACAGCTGCAAGTTAAATACACACTTTAAGTTTACACAGTTTTACTGATAATGATCTCTCACACAAATTACTAGAGCAGTTTAGGAAAACTTGCCATAGATTCCTATGACTAAATAGAATTAATGTGAGCATGAATAATCATCCCTATCTTAGACATAACAGCTTTAGAAAACATTTTTGGCTCTAGTTGCATATGCTGGCAGCTACTCTGCTTTTCTAACTTTACTACTAAACAAAAGTAAGCACATCCAAAAGAGTATCTGCTGAACTCAACTACATAAATGGTGCTTTTGGAAATTCAGTGCTTCCTTCTTAAGCAAACCAAGTCCCTGTTCTCTTCAGATGTTACATTATCTCCCACATTCTAGGGAATAAGAGCTTTAATACCCAAATCCCTGCAAAGGATTTAATTTTGCCCTATGCATCACCACGAAACACTACACACTGGCCTGACCTTATTATGCCACCTATCATATTTAGAGTCTGCAAAGGATTAGCAATGCTCTTAATTGATGGCAAATCAGTTCAGAGTCAAATATGCAGATCGACATGGAAATGCAGCAGAAATCTCTTCAAAAAGCTAGCAGGTGCCAAGAGGTGCTTTCTACATAAAATATAACGTTGTAACAGCTTTAAATGAAGCCTTGTGCAATTAATTAGTCAATTCAATTGCCTCTGAAAAGTTCCACTATTAATAGTGCCGTGTTTTACATGCAGAGTGACCATGCATTTAAATAAGCTCATGACCCAAATTAGATTAAGAGTTTGATAACGATTTGAAACTAAGGCAGTACCTTAGAGACAACAATACATTGCAGGCTGAAGATACTCTTATTTACAATTCATTTAACAAACCTCATGCTCCTCATCCAGTACCACCAGCTGTTTATCCTTGTCGATTTTCACTATAAATCAAAATAAAATAAATCAACTTTTTATATAAAGATGCTTACATCCACCCACATTTAAACTGTAGTCCAGCCACTTTATACAAGGTATGGGTGAAGCTTTTTAATCTCCCCCAGCAGCATAGTCCATGTGTTTCCCTTCTGCGCTTCCATCCTTATCCCATGACCTCATAAAATCTTTGCAGTCAAGATAAGTGAACAATCTAGGGCTGTGCACTGCATTTTTTTTCCTGTTTTTATCTCTCTTCCTCCAAATTTCAAAGGCAGAAAGGTCAAAATCTGTTACTTCACAGCTACAGATTTCACAAACTCAAAATGAGCATACTTTGACTTGTTTGTATTTTGCCATCGTTTTACAAATAGTGGCAGTCCTTAAGCCACACATAAGTATTCATACTCTGGTAAGAGCAAACAAAGTCAAGTCTTGTAGCACGAGATCATTACATTATTATTAAAATCACAGAGGGGATGGGAGGTACTGAAGCTTACACCAGAAGGAGTCTTCTTGGATCACATTTGTCTGCTACAGCAGCAAAATTACATGGGAGGGAGAGAGGAGATAGGATTTTCTGCAAGACCTTGTAACTTTTGCTAGTAATGTTTTTAACTTACTTATAATGGCAGCATTGTTGGTTTCTTTACGAAACCGGAATTTTCTCAGTTTCTCCACCAGGTCTTCAGCAACATCACAAACCACCAGGGATTCACTCTATAAAAGGGAAATAGCAGAAGAGAGGGAAAGATAAGGGAAATCTTTTGAATAAAATAGGAAAAAAAAAAAAAGATATCATGGGTATGTGCATTGGGCAAACTCTACTGAAGTAGAACTGCTGCCTGTTGAAAGCTCAAAAACACACATAACCCAGAAGAACAAAAATGAAAGCAGATTTTAAGGACACAAGAAGAGAACATTTATCTGTTCTAATTCTTTTTCAAAGCCATACAGCTTTATTAGCTATTCCCAAGGCCAAATTATTCCAAAATATTTATCTTATGAAGGATTCCTATTTCTGCAACACACTTAAAGATAAACAAATTTACAGTAGATTTGTCAAGGTCAATCCCCAAATTAGAGTCCCTTAAGGTTGAAGTAGAGTGATTAAAATAATTTAAAGATTTAGATTCATAAAAGCTGTTATCAGTATTGCAGAAGAACAGAGATTCTAACCAAGGGGCACCATATTTTATACTCAGAGAATTATTAACTGAGCCTTTGAGATTTGCACATGGGTAGGAAGCCTTTAAACATTTTAATCAAAAACTTTGCATATTTTCCCCTCATGCTTTTAAGGCACTAACTTGAAGCTTTCAGAACACCCGAGTAACAAATTACTCATCGCCCTGCAGATGGGGAAGGAAATGATTATTTCACAAGCAGCCCTGCAGGTTATCTGCCATTGAACAAGCAACTCGTAACTGCACCAGAGCAACCGCTGCCACTTCCGGAGCAGCGTTTTCTGCGTTCGCCAACCTCTACCGGCACCGGGAGCCGCC